TTCTAGTTGTATGTTCAAGGGGTTCTGTTGTATGTTCAAGGGATTGTGTTGTATGTTGAAGGGATTGTTGTTGTACGTTGAAAAGGCTGGTGTTGTATGTTCAAGGGATTGTGTTGTATGTTCAAAGGGGCTGTGTTGTATGTTCAAGAAGGGATTGTGTTGTACAGCGTCCAAGGGATTGTGTTGTTGTATTTTCATGGGATTGCGTTGTATGCCGATGTTCATGGATCGTGCCGTATGTTCCAGCGATTGTGTTGTATGTTCAAGAGGTTGCGTTGGTATGTTCAAGGTTGTGCTGTATTTCAGGCGTTTGTGTGGGATTGTAAGCAAGGGATTGTGTTGTATGTTGAAGGGATTGTGTTGGGATGATCAAGGACTGTGTTGCATATTCAAGGTTGTGTGTTGAAGGATTGTGTTGTATGTTGAAGAGATTGTGTTGTATGTTGAAGGGGGTTCTGTGTTGTATGTTCAAGCGGATTGTGTTGTATATTCAAGGGATAGTGTTGTATGTTGAAGTAGGGTTCAAGTTGTATGTTGCAGGTTCAAGGCTGTGTTGTATGTTCAAGGGTTTGTGTGTTGTATGTTCAAGGATTGTGTTGTATGTTGAAGGGGTTGTGTTATGTATGTTCATGGATTGTGGGACATTGTATGTTCAAAGGGATTGTATTTGTATGTTCAAGGATTGTGTTGTATGTTCAAGGGATTGTGTTGTATGTTTCAAAGGAGTTTGTGTTGTATGTTCAAGGGGGCTGTGTTGTATGTTCAACGAGTTGTATCTTGTATGTTCAAAGAGTTGTCTTATGTTCGAGGATGTGTGTTCATGGATTGTAGTTGTGGCGTTCAAGGTTATGTGTTGTATGTTCAAAGGGGGTTCAGTTGTATGTACAAGGGATGGTGTTGTATGTCTCAAGGGGCTGTGTTGTATGTTCAAGGATTGTCTTGTGTGTTCAAGGGATTGTCTCAAAGAAGTCAAGGGATTGTGTTGTATGTTCAAGGATTGTGTTGTATGTTCAAGGGGTTCAGCTGTATGTACAAGGGATGGTGTTGTATGTTCAAGGATTGTGTTGTATGTCTATGGCTTGTGTTGTATGTTCAAGGGGTTCTGGGGACTAGCAAGCAGACATTGTACACTATCCTACTATCTAGAGTCTAATGCTAGAAGTCATCTGGGGACTAGCAGACAGATTGTGTTGTATGTTGAAGGGATTGTGTTGTATGTTGAAGGGGCTGTGTTGTATGTTCAAGGGATTGTGTTGTATGTTGAATGGGGTTGTGTTGTATGTTCAAGGGTTTGTGTTGTATGTTCAAAGGGTTCTGTTGTATGTTCATGGGATTGTGTTGTATGTTGGAAGGGATTGTGTTGTATGTTGAAGGAGGTTGTGTTGTATGTTGAAGGGATTGTGTTGTATGTTGAAGGGCTGTGTTGTATGTTGAAGGATTGTGTTGCATGTTGAAGGATTGTGTTGTATGTTGAAGGGGCTGTGTTGTATGTTCAAGGGATTGTGTTGTATGTTCAAGGGGATTGTGTTGTATGTTCAAGGGATTGTGTTGTATGTTCAAGGGGCTGTTTTCTATGTTCAAGGGATTGTGTTGTATGTTGATGGGATTGTGTTGTATGTTGAAGGGATTGTGTTGTATGTTCAAGGGATTGCGTTGTATGTTCAAGGGATTGTGTTGTATGTTCAAGGGATTGTGTTGTATGTTCAAGGGGCTGTGTTGTATGTTCAAGGGATTGTGTTGTATGTTCAAGGATTGTGTTGAACGATTGTATTTGTATGTTGAAGGATTGTGTTGTATGTTGAAGGGTTCTGTTGTATGTTCAAGGGATTGTGTTGTATGTTCAAGGGATTGTGTTGTATGTTCAAGGGGTTCTGTTGTATGTTCAAGGGGCTGTGTTGTATGTTCAAGGGTTTGTGTTGTATGTTCAAGGGATTGTGTTGTATGTTCAAGGGGTTCTGTTGTATGTTCAAGGGATTGTGTTGTATGTTGAAGGGATTGTGTTGTATGTTCAAGGAGCTGTGTTGTATGTTCAAGGGATTGTGTTGTATGTTCAAGATTGTGTTGAACGATTGTGTTGTATGTTCAAGGGGCTGTTTTGTATGTTCCAGGGATTGTGTTGTATGTTGAAGGGATTGTGTTGTGTGTTGAAGGGGCTGTGTTGTATGTTCAAGGGATTGTGTTGTATGTTCAAGGATTGTGTTGAACGATTGTGTTGTATGTTCAAGGGGCTGTGTTGTATGTTCAAGGGTTTGTGTTGTATGTTCAAGGGATTGTGTTGTATGTTGAACGATTGTGTTGTATGTTCAAGGGGTTCTGTTGTATGTTGAAGGGATTGTGTTGTATGTTGAAGGGATTGTGTTGTATGTTCAAGGAGCTGTGTTGTATGTTCAAGGGATTGTGTTGTATGTTGAAAGGATTGTGTTGAACGATTGTGTTGTATGTTGAACGATTGTGTTGTATGTTCAAGGGGTTCTGTTGTATGTTCAAGGGATTGTGTTGTATGTTCAAGGATTGTGTTGTATGTTCAAGGGATTGTGTTGTATGTTCAAGGGATTGTGTTGTATGTTCAAGGGGCTGTGTTGTATGTTCAAGGGATTGTCTTGTATGTTCAAGGGATTGTCTTGTATGTTCAAGGGATTGTGTTGTATGTTCAAGGATTGTGTTGTATGTTCAAGGGGTTCAGTTGTATGTACAAGGGATGGTGTTGTATGTTCAAGGGATTGTGTTGTATGTTCAAGGGTTTGTGTTGTATGTTCAAGGGGTTCTGTTGTATGTTCATGGGATTGTGTTGTATGTTGAAGGGATTGTGTTGTATGTTGAAGGGGCTGTGTTGTATGTTCAAGGGATTGTGTTGTATGTTGAAGGGGTTGTGTTGTATGTTCAAGGGTTTGTGTTGTATGTTCAAGGGGTTCTGTTGTATGTTCATGGGATTGTGTTGTATGTTGAAGGGATTGTGTTGTATGTTGAAGGGGTTGTGTTGTATGTTGAAGGGATTGTGTTGTATGTTGAAGGGGCTGTGTTGTATGTTGAAGGGATTGTGTTGCATGTTGAAGGATTGTGTTGTATGTTGAAGGGGCTGTGTTGTATGTTCAAGGGATTGTGTTGTATGTTCAAGGGGATTGTGTTGTATGTTCAAGGGATTGTGTTGTATGTTCAAGGGGCTGTTTTCTATGTTCAAGGGATTGTGTTGTATGTTGATGGGATTGTGTTGTATGTTGAAGGGATTGTGTTGTATGTTCAAGGGATTGCGTTGTATGTTCAAGGGATTGTGTTGTATGTTCAAGGGATTGTGTTGTATGTTCAAGGGGCTGTGTTGTATGTTCAAGGGATTGTGTTGTATGTTCAAGGATTGTGTTGAACGATTGTGTTGTATGTTGAAGGATTGTGTTGTATGTTGAAGGGGTTCTGTTGTATGTTCAAGGGATTGTGTTGTATGTTCAAGGGATTGTGTTGTATGTTCAAGGGGTTCTGTTGTATGTTCAAGGGGCTGTGTTGTATGTTCAAGGGTTTGTGTTGTATGTTCAAGGGATTGTGTTGTATGTTCAAGGGGTTCTGTTGTATGTTCAAGGGATTGTGTTGTATGTTGAAGGGATTGTGTTGTATGTTCAAGGAGCTGTGTTCTATGTTCAAGGGATTGTGTTGTATGTTCAAGGATTGTGTTGAACGATTGTGTTGTATGTTCAAGGGGCTGTTTTGTATGTTCCAGGGATTGTGTTGTATGTTGAAGGGATTGTGTTGTGTGTTGAAGGGGCTGTGTTGTATGTTCAAGGGATTGTGTTGTATGTTCAAGGATTGTGTTGAACGATTGTGTTGTATGTTCAAGGGGCTGTGTTGTATGTTCAAGGGTTTGTGTTGTATGTTCAAGGGATTGTGTTGTATGTTGAACGATTGTGTTGTATGTTCAAGGGGTTCTGTTGTATGTTGAAGGGATTGTGTTGTATGTTGAAGGGATTGTGTTGTATGTTCAAGGAGCTGTGTTGTATGTTCAAGGGATTGTGTTGTATGTTGAAAGGATTGTGTTGAACGATTGTGTTGTATGTTCAAGGGGCTGTTTTGTATGTTCCAGGGATTGTGTTGTATGTTGAAGGGATTGTGTTGTATGTTGAAGGGATTGTGTTGTATGTTCAAGGGGCTGTGTTGTATGTTCAAGGATTGTGTTGAACGATTGCGTTGTGTGTTGAAGGGATTGTGTTGTATGTTCAAGGGATTGTGTTGTATGTTGAAGGGGCTGTGTTGTATGTTCAAGGGTTTGTGTTGTATGTTCAAGGGGTTCTGTTGTATGTTCATGGGATTGTGTTGTATGTTGAAGGGATTGTGTTGTATGTTCAAGGGGCTGTGTTGTATGTTGAGGGGATGGTGTTGTATGTTCAAGGGATTGTGTTGTATGTTCAAGGGGCTGTGTTGTATGTTCAAGGGATTGTGTTGTATGTTTAAGAGGCTGTGTTGTATGTTGAACGATTGTGTTGTATGTTCAAGGGATTGTGTTGTATGTTCAAGGGATTGTGTTGTATGTTCAAGGGATTGTGTTGTGTGTTCAAGGGTTGTCTTGTATTAGCTGGCAGGTTTTGCCTGGACATGAATGATATAGCTATTAAGTAACTGTCAGACAGCTCTCTCAGGCTCATAGCTGACTGCATTCAAATGTTCCTCCTCTTATTTCATGCAACAAATGTCAATATTTGTAAACCCCTGTGTCAGAGGAAAGTCTGCTTTTCCTTGTTGCTGTTGTCAGACATTCTTCATTGTGTCACAACTGGAAGGAAAAGATGATTAGACAATTAGTTCCCTGTTCACACCTAAATAGATGTGTTTTTGCTGAAGTGTTGACCCTTGTTGGAATGGAGAAAGATTATGTGGAGCGTCTCAAAATATTAAATATATTGTCAGACCAGTTAGCTATGTTATTTACAACTCTCAAACATCAATCAAGTCTTTTATGCAGTCCTGTAACTGAAACAATGACAGACACATGGTGATGTTAATTGTTTTGTTATTTCCAGCTGGTATTCCTGGTGTATACACAGTTCTGTTAATGGTGAGTAGCAACCTTGGTGATCATTACACTATCCTGCTATCCAGAGTCAGCCTGTCCATTGCTAGAGGTTGTCTTCTGAGGACAAGCAGACATTGTACACTATCCTGCTATCCAGAGTCTAATGCTAGAGGTCATCTGATGACTATCAGACATTGTACACTATCCTACTATCCAGAGTCTGATGCTAGAAGTCATCTGGGCACTAGCAGACATTGTACACTATCCTACTATCTAGAGTCTAATGCTAGAGGTCATCTGGGGACTAGCAGACATTGTACACTATCCTACTATCTAGAGTCTAATGCTAGAAGTCATCTGAGGACTAGCAGACATTGTACACTATCCTACTATCTAGAGTCTAATGCTAGAAGTCATCTGGGGACTAGCAGACATTGTACACTATCCTACTATCTAGAGTCTAATGCTAGAGGTCATCTGAGGACTAGCAAACATTGTACACTATCCTACTATCTAGAGTCTAATGCTAGACGTCATCTGAGGACTAGCAGACATTGTACACTATCCTACTATCTAGAGTCTAATGCTAGAGGTCATCTGGGGACTAGCAGACATTGTACACTATCCTACTATCTAGAGTCTAATGCTAGAAGTCATCTGGGGACTAGCAGACATTGTACACTATCCTACTATCTAGAGTCTAATGCTAGAGGTCATCTGAGGACTAGCAGACATTGTACACTATCCTACTATCTAGAGTCTAATGCTAGAAGTCATCTGAGGACTTGCAGACATTGTACACTATCCTACTATCTAGAGTCTAATGCTAGAAGTCATCTGAGGACTTGCAGACATTGTACACTATCCTACTATCCAGAGTCTAATGCTAGAGGTCATCTGGGGACTAGCAGACATTGTACACTATCCTACTATCTAGAGTCTAATGCTAGAGGTCATCTGAGACATTGTACACTATCCTACTATCCAGAGTCTAATGTAGGTCATCTGAGGATAGCCTTGTACTATCCTACTATCTAGAGTCTAATGCTAGACGTCATCTGAGGACTAGCAGACATTGTACACTATCCTACTATCTAGAGTCTAATGCTAGAAGTCATCTGGGGACTAGCAGACATTGTACACTATCCTACTATCTAGAGTCTAATGCTAGAAGTCATCTGAGGACTAGCAGACATTGTACACTATCCTACTATCTAGAGTCTAATGCTAGAAGTCATCTGAGGACTAGCAGACATTGTACACTATCCTACTATCCAGAGTCTAATGCTAGAGGTCATCTGGGGACTAGCAGACATTGTACACTATCCTACTATCTAGAGTCTAATGCTAGAAGTCATTTGAGGACTTGCAGACATTGTACACTATCCTACTATCTAGAGTCTAATGGTAGAGATCATCTGAGGACTAGCAGACATTGTACACTACCCTACTATCTAGAGTCTAAAGCTAGAGGTCATCTGGGGACTAGCAGACATTGTACACTATCCTACTATCCAGAGTCTAATGCTAGAGGTCATCTGAGGACTAGCAGACATTGTACACTATCCTTCTATCCAGAGTCTAATGGTAAAGGTCATCTGAGGACTAGCAGACATTGTACACTATCCTACTATCTAGAGTCTAAAGCTAGAGGTCATCTGGGGACTATCAGACATTGTACACTATCCTACCATCCAGAGTCTAATGGTAGAGGTCATCTGAGGACTATCAGACATTGTACACTATCCTACTATCTAGAGTCTAAAGCTAGAGGTCATCTGGGGACTATCAGACATTGTACACTATCCTACTATCCAGAGTCTAATGGTAGAGGTCATCTGAGGACTAGCAGACATTGTACACTATCCTACTATCTAGAGTCTAATGCTAGAAGTCATCTGAGGACTAGGAGACATTGTACACTATCCTACTATCTAGAGTCTAATGCTAGAAGTCATCTGAGGACTAGCAGACATTGTACACTATCCTACTATCCAGAGTCTAATGCTAGAGGTCATCTGAGGACTTGCAAACATTGTACACTATCCTACTATCCAGGATAGTAGGATTGCATCGAACCTGGTGTAACAGGCCAAACTTTCCCCCTGGCCAAACCTTCCCCGGGGAAACTTTGGCCTTTGGGGGTGGGGGGAGGGAACTTTAGCCTAGCCCAAACTTTCCCCTGGGAAACAATATCCTAGGACAAAAAAGTTTGGCCTAGGCCAGATTCTCCCCGGGGAAAGTTTAGACCGGGGAGAAATGGCCTGCTACACCGGGCCTTCGGCATGACGAGCGAACGCTTTAACCACTAGGCTACCCCACCGCCCCTCAATAGACTAGAAAATCTGATTATAATGAGCATGTATTGAGAGATATCAGAGTGAGTGAGTTTGATTTTAGCAATATTCCAGCAATATCACAGCGGGGAGAGATATCAGGAGGATGTAAAAGTCTCTTGTTCATCTGTTTTCAGTAGTCTGTTGTTTCTGCTGTTGTTCTAATGCTGGATTTCTGTTTGCAGGGGTGTATGCATTTGGCTTCATCTTCATGTTACCACAGTTGTTTGTTAATTATAAGGTGAGTTGCCCACCTGTGGAACCCCTCAACTACAGGGTCCAAGTCAAACACTGGGAGATTCACGGGGGACTGTCAACTCTCGACTGTAAACTGTAAACTGTCAGCTATCCCAGGACAGTAACTACTGTAGATGTATTGAATTGTTACCGATCTTGGTGAGAGTAAGGTTGTCTACCATATTAAGTTGTCATTCGTGGCGATGAAAATAGACAAGGTACCATCGGACACTAATATCAGAACAGTAACGTTGTATTAATGGACGTTCTAAACTATTTTCTGTTGTTTCCAGCTGAAATCAGTAGCTCATCTGCCATGGAGGGCTTTCATGTACAAAGTAAGTACGATTGTCAGGTGTTGTTGCCACAGACTTTGTAATGGCGATATCAGGACGATAATGAAGCTCTCCGTATATTTTGTTTGTGTTGTCCAAGATATCCACAGCACCATGACATTCACAGCTACCTGAATGCACAACACTCTGCTATCCACAGCAGCATGACATCCATGACACCTTGAAATCTATAGTACCATGACACCATGACATCAATAGAAGACCACAAGCACCTGCTAACCTCAGTCTCTGTTGATATCTCAACATATATTATTTGATGTTTTGTAGGCATTCAACACATTTATTGATGATGTGTTTGCCTTCATCATCACCATGCCAACTGCTCACAGACTTGCCTGTTTCCGGGACGATGTGGTCTTCCTGATCTACTTATACCAAAGATGGTTGGTATATTTTCATTATTCTTTTAGGCTTTTATGAAGAACGGAAATGTTCATGCCTGACATGACAACACACCTGACATGACAACACACCTGACATGACAACACACCCGACGTGACAACATACATGACATGACAACACACCTGACTTGACAACACACCTGACATGACAACACACCTGACGTGACAACACACCTGACATGACAACACACCTGCCATGACAACACACCTGACATGACAACACAACACACCTGACGTGACAACACACCTGACAACATGCCAGACATGACAACACACCTGACATGACAACACACCTGATGTGACAACACACCTGGCTTGACAACATACCTGACGTGACAACTAACCTGACATGACAACACACCTGACGTGACAACACACCTGATGTGACAACACACCTGACGTGACAACACACCTGACGTGACAACTAACCTGACATGACAACACACCTGACTTGACAACACACCTGACATGACAACACAACATGCCTGACGTGACAACACACCTGACAACATGCCAGACATGACAACACACCTGACGTGACAACACACCTGACAACATGCCAGACATGACAACACACCCGACATGACAACACACCTGACGTGATAACACACCTGACGTGACAACTAACCTGACATGACAACACACCTGACTTGACAACACACCTGACATGACAACAAAACACACCTGATGTGACAACATGCCAGACATGACAACACACCTGACATGACAACACACCTGACATCATGATATCAAAGTGTCCCATGTTAAAGTGAGCAGGAGAGGCTTGCAGAGACTTCATGATTTACAAGATATGATCATAAACACTTGCTTCTGATATGAACATATATATAGTTAGATATTTGACGCTGATGTTAGAGTAGAGATGGATGGGTGTCAGGAAGAGGTTTTATGAAACAATTTCCTGCCATGATTCCAGGCTCTACCCTGTGGACAAGACACGGGTCAACGAGTACGGCCAGTCCTTCCAGCAGGAAGACAAAGTCAAGAAGACAAACTGAGACACCATATTGGAAAAACTGCTGACCTTGCATTTCATCTTGACGTGATCCAACTGATCTCTATCTCATCTTCTTCTGAAAATCCAATGTGGATATCAAAGTTTCTGTTTAGACTGGAAATATAGGGAAAATGTTCCATTCCAAAGTTTTTATATCATCATTGTAGCGACCATCAGTAGTGTTGTTACAGATATGTAAATGATAGTTTAGGAGGGTATGTGTTTGATGCAGTTGTCGAGGGCGACATTTTGTGGTGTATCTCTGTAACAGTAGAGTTCAGAGACCCATTATTTCACAGTATTTATTGGCATCATTGTTCAGGCCATGAAGACCTGCATCTTGAAATCCATGTCATCGACCTGGTCATGGGGGGTATTTAGCTGTACGTTAGTGTTGATTGTCATGGGGGGTATTTAGCTGTACGTTATTGTTGATTGTCATGGGGGGTATTTAGCTGTATGTTATTGTTGATTGTTGGCAAGATTGTTTTATATGCTGATGTCTGGATGTTTACCGTCAGCAGACATCTTAGCCCTTCCATGGCTGTGTGCTTGTCAACACAGACACGTTGTAAACAGCATCTGTGCCCTTTCTGGTTGTACACAGCATCTGTGCACTGTCTGGTTGTACACAGCATCTGTGCACTGTCTGGTTGTACACAGCATCTGTGCACTGTCTGGTTGTAAACAGCATCTGTGCACTGTCTGGTTGTACACAGCATCTGTGCACTGTCTGGTTGTACACAGCATCTGTGCACTGTCTGGCTTCCAGCAGCCACTGCCAGCTGTATCTTGTGTCCTGCTACCTTCAGGGTCCGTCATTACTGGGATGATCTATTTCTACCAGTTGGTCACCTGAGTATTCAACCTGCTCTGGAATACAAATTGTCATGTTTCTCATAACATTTCAACGTAAATTAGCGAATGTAAGTAACTCTGCCAAACATATCACTCCAGAAGCCTGAGTTTGTGACAGGGATACAGTACGCACTGTACGTTCACCTTGTCACATGTCTGTTGTACAGGATGGAGATAGAAAGGGGAAGCAGATTTTAATTCTGGACATTGTTAAAGAAAGTTGAACATTTCGTGTAACTGTATTCAGGAGTTGACATGTAACTGTATTCAGGAGTTGACATGTAACTGTATTCAGGAGTTGACATGTAACTGTATTCAGGAGTTGACATGTAACTGTATTCAGGAGTTGACATGTTAAGATCTGTGCATATCATGGCTTGAAATCCAGCTTGATATGTCTCATATGGTGTGGCATTGTTCGTCTTAAAACTGACAAAACTAGATTGAAAATATTATCATTTTGTGTTTGTTTTTAACTTGATGTGATTATTGTGATGAATATCTGGTGTGAATCCTCTGTACACGGTGACGCAGTTGTACTGCCAGGTGGACACATGTCATCGGTTCCCAATTGCATAGATCGATGCTCATGCTGTTGATCACTGGATTGTCTGGTCCAGACTCGATTATTTACAGATAGCAATGCTTCTTATCCATACACCCTTCTAATGGAGGAGCAATGCTTCTTATCCATACACCCTTCTAATGGAGGAGCAATGCTTCTTATCCATACACCCTTCTAATGGAGGAGCAATGCTTCTTATCCATACACCCTTCTAATGGAGGAGCAATGCTTCTTATCCATACACCCTTCTAATGGAGGAGCAATGCTTCTTATCCATACACCCTTCTAATGGAGGAGCAATGCTTCTTATCCAAACACCCTTCTAATGGAGGAGCAATGCTTCTTATCCATACACCCTTCTAATGGAGGAGCAATGCTTCTTATCCATACACCCTTCTAATGGAGGAGCAATGCTTCTTATCCAAACACCCTTCTAATGGAGGAGCAATGCTTCTTATCCATACACCCTTCTAATGGAGGAGCAATGCTTCTTATCCAAACACCCTTCTAATGGAGGAGCAATGCTTCTTATCCATACACCCTTCTAATGGAGGAGCAATGCTTCTTTATCCATACACCCTTCTAATGGAGGAGCAATGCTTCTTATCCAAACACCCTTCTAATGGAGGAGCAATGCTTCTTATCCATACACCCTTCTAATGGAGGAGCAATGCTTTATCCATACACCCTTCTAATGGAGGAGCAATGCTTCTTATCCAGACACCCTTCTAATGGAGGAGCAATGCTTCTTATCCAGACACCCTTCTAATGGAGGAGCAATGCTTCTTATCCAAACACCCTTCTAATGGAGGAGCAATGCTTCTTATCCAAACACCCTTCTAATGGAGGAGCAATGCTTCTTATCCAAACACCCTTCTAATGGAGGAGCAATGCTTCTTATCCAAACACCCTTCTAATGGAGGAGCAATGCTTCTTATCCATACACCCTTCTAATGGAGGAGCAATGCTTCTTATCCATACACCCTTCTAATGGAGGAGCAATGCTTCTTATCCATACACCCTTCTAATGGATCCATGCTTCTTATCCATACACCCTTCTAATGGAGGAGCAATGCTTCTTATCCATACACCCTTCTAATGGAGGAGCAATGCTTCTTATCCAGACACCCTTCTAATGGAGGAGCAATGCTTCTTATCCAAACACCCTTCTAATGGAGGAGCAATGCTTCTTATCCAAACACCCTTCTAATGGAGGAGCAATGCTTCTTATCCAGACACCCTTCTAATGGAGGAGCAATGCTTCTTATCCATACACCCTTCTAATGGAGGAGCAATGCTTCTTATCCAAACATCCGGAAAGGCACCACAACAGAAATTAATTATGAAACATTTCTGCCATATTTTAACATCAGGTCGAGACGCCTGTACCTACTTCAGGGCATCAATAACACCTACAATCTCATCAACCATTATATCATGGTGAAGTAAAATATCGCTACCAACAACAGAAGCATGGTCGTCATTGACATTTCTGCAATACACAAAAAGGTCACCAGCAGTCACAACATCAGGGACATTTAACACCGCTTTGAAGTAGCTTACTGGATTGTCTGGTCCAGACGCGATAATTTACACACCGACGCCATATAGCTGGAATATTGCTGAGTGCAGCGTAAAATTAAAATCACTCACTCACTTGTTTAAACATGATGCCTGACTGGTCCAGTGGGTTTCTTTTGTTTCACATTGTGTTTCTCTTGCCTGATCCAAGTATGGGTGTGACAGTTGATCAGACTAGATCGCAGAAACACAGCACATGATACAGGTAATGCAGAACATACACTGTCACGATTATTGTAGTCTGTGTGAGGAGGGCTTCTTGGTGTTGGGGAGGGCTTCTTGGTGTTGGGGAGGGCTTCTTGGTGTTGGAGAGGGCTTCTTGGAGTTGGGGAGGGCTTCTTGGTGTTGGGGAGGGCTTCTTGGTGTTGGAGAGGGCTTCTTGGTGTTGGGGATAAAACTTCAGTTGATGTTTCCCTATATTCTGATCCAGGGTCTTTTTTAGCAACTGCTGTTAAAATTATCTGCATATTTGGTCCCTATTAGTAACCTGATCCGGGCAACTCAAGTGTATAGGGTACATGTCCACTATGGTGATTAACACTGTACGCAGTGCGATGATTGGTTTTTTCATTGGTAGAGACTTATGTTTATGGTTTTAACCATATTAACTTTGGAAAATTTGTATTTGGGAAAATGTAAGTTTGTCAATTCTCTCATGTGTTTTTGTGTATCATGTTTTTGTAGTGCAGGTGTATTTTGATTTATAAACCAAGTCTAAAAAGAAGTCTTGCCTCAAATCTCACCTATCTCTTGCATGTCTGACCTACTTTTTGCATGTCTGACCTTAATTTTCCCGCTTTTCTTGCATGGCCGACCCTAAGTTTCACCTACCTCTTGCATGTCTGACCTTAAGTTTCACCTACCTCTTGCATGGCCGACCCTAAGTTTCACCTACCTCTTGCATGTCTGACCTTAAGTTTCACCTACCTCTTGCATGTCTAACCTCCTCCCCGAGTCTGAACCCTTGCAGCCTGATACAGTTGCATTGTTTCCTACAGATAGCTTTGCCACAAACATTATAGGAAGATTACTAATTGTTAGAAATCCTGATTTTAGTTTGAAATTTGTTTGTGTTTGTCTGATCCAACAAATGACAACGGTGTTAGGATCTCCACCGAAACGTCGCATCTACTGCAACAAAGAAGTTGTCTATCCATATAAAGTGTTCCTCTTCATCATGTCAGCTTCTAAATGCCACATAAGGAAGTGATGTAACATGACCATGACCGTGACCATGACACTGTACAGGATACATGTTGTTGATACAACTGCAACCATGACACTGTACAGGATACATGTTGTTGATACAACTGCAACCTTGACACTGTACAGGATACATGTGGTTGATACAACTGCAACCTTGACACCGTACAGGACACATGTTGTTGATACAACTGCAACCTTGACACCGTACAGGATACATGTTGTTGATACAACTGCAACCTTGACACTGTACAGGATACATGTTGTTGAAACAACTGCAACCTTGACACTGTACAGGATACATGTTGTTGATACAACTGCAACCATGACACTGTACAGGATACATGTTGTTGATACAACTGCAACCTTGACACTGTACAGGATACATGTTGTTGATACAACTGCAACCTTGACACCGTACAGGATACATGTTGTTGATACAACTGCAACCTTGAGACTGTACAGGATACATGTTGTTGATACATGTTGATACAACTGCAACCTTGAGACTGTACAGGATACATGTTGTTGATACAACTGCAACCATGACACTGTACAGGATACATGTTGTTGATACAACTGCAACCTTGAGACTGTACAGGATACATGTTGTTGATACAACTGCAACCTTGACACTGTACAGGATACATGTTGTTGATACAACTGCAACCTTGACACTGTACAGGATACATGTTGTTGATACAACTGCAACCTTGACACTGTACAGGATACATGTTGTTGATACAACTGCAACCATGACACTGTACAGGATACATGTTGTTGATACAACTGCAACCATGACACTGTACAGGATACATGTTGTTGATACAACTGCAACCTTGACACTGTACAGGATACATGTTGTTGATACAACTGCAACCTTGACACTGTACAGGATACATGTTGTTGATACAACTGCAACCTTGACACTGTACAGGATACATGTTGATACAACTGCAACCTTGACACTGTACAGAATACATGTTGTTGATACAACTGCAACCTTGACACCGTACAGGATACATGTTGTTGATACAACTGCAACCATGACACTGTACAGGATACATGTTGTTGATACAACTGCAACCTTGACACTGTACAGGATACATGTTGTTGATACAACTGCAACCATGACACTGTACAGGATACATGTTGTTGATACAACTGCAACCTTGACACTGTACAGGATACATGTTGTTGATACAACTGCAACCTTGACACTGTACAGGATACATGTTGTTGATACAACTGCAACCATGACACTGTACAGGATACATGTTGTTGATACAACTGCAACCATGACACTGTACAGGATACATGTTGTTGATACAACTGCAACCTTGACACTGTACAGGATACATGTTGATACAACTGCAACCTTGACACCGTACAGGATACATGTTGTTGATACAACTGCAACCTTGACACCGTACAGGACACATGTTGTTGATACAACTGCAACCATGACACTGTACAGGATACATGTTGATACAGCTGGAAGCACGTGTCCAGCTGCCCACAAAGTGTCAATGACTTCCTGGAATGTATCAATGTAACAACTGTGATTTACTCTTACTTTCATCAGATAAGGTTTACTGTCAGATATTTTGTACCTAAATAAAGGATCTTGGCCTTGACCTTGTTGATTCTGCATGGTATTTCATTGGATGACACCACTGTGAGTGAGTGAGAGTGATGTGTTGGGGTTTATTTGCAGATTTTGTAATATTTCTGGCAATTCCCAGTGTAGCATCTTACTATGGGTGATACACTTTGTCAGGTAAAACACACACGTAATGGGTATGGTGTCGCCAACCCCAGGCCCATTATCAGGGGAACTGCTGGATTAAAACAGCGACCAGCAGATGTGACATTACTACCTATGCCTCCAAATACTATTGTCGGTCACTGGGTTTCATACTGTCTCACTCTCAACCACTAGTTTGCCAGCTGGAACCTGGTGCTGATCACTCACTCACTCAGGCTGGAAAGCCTCCTTGAGGGAAGGAATGCTGGAAGGAATGCTACATGGATGGCAAGAAATCAAGTGATGGGCATAAATGTGCATTCAAGTTAGAAGCTCTAGATTCCACACTATGAACAATCAACAAGCAGATCTTCTCATCCAAGGGAGGTAACTCTGCACTACATTGTGTCAGCTGTCTGGCTTGGGCTGCACCAAGACATCAGTCAGTGGGAAGAGGTTGCATCGGGTTTAATTTGTACAATAGTAGAAATATTCAAACAATCATCACAATAAATAATACACTGTACAGATTCATACAATACACAATACATGTACATTCAATACACTGATTTCTTTGGTTCATACAGGCAGTAGAAAGTGAGGAGGCAGACCAGTTGGTTAATACTAGATACGGCCAACGGCCAACAGCAGACTCCAGTTGTCATTACGGATATCATAGTATCTACATTACTGACTGCATCTGAAAGTCACACAGGCCTACAAAGTGGACAGGTAGGAATACAGCAAGACTGAAGGCCTGGCATGTGAATCACTCTGTAATATGTGAGTGTCATTTGGTATGTGAAGGCCCCAGGGACAGTGGACAGGTAGGAATACAGCAAGACTGAAGGCCTGGTATATGAATCACTCTGTAATATATGAGTGTCATTTGGTATGTGAAGGCCCCAGGGACAGTGGACAGGTAGGAATACAGCAAGACTTAAGGCCTGGTATGTGAATCACTCAGTAATATATGAGTGTCATTTGGTATGTGAAGGCCCCAGGGACAGTGGACAGGTAGGAATACAGCAAGACTTAAAGCCTGGTATGTGAATCACTCTGTAATATATGAGTGTCATTTGGTATGTGAAGGCTCCAGGGACAGTGGACAGGTAGGAATACTGCAAGACTGGAGGCCTGGTATGTGAATCACTCTGTAATATATGAGTGTCATTTGGTATGTGAAGGCCCCAGGTACAGTGGACAGGTAGAAATACAGCAAGACTGGAGGCCTGGTATGTGAATCACTCTGTAATATATGAGTGTCATTTGGTATGTGAAGGCCCCAGGTAGAATGGACAGGTAGGAATACAGCAAGACTTGAGGCCTGGTATGTGAATCACTCTGTAATATATGAGTGTCATTTAGTATGTGAAGGCCCCAGGGACAGTGGACAGGTAGGAATACTGCAAGACTGAAGGCCTGGTATGTGAATCACTCAGTAATATATGAGTGTCATTTGGTATGTGAAGGCTCCAGGGACAGTGGACAGGTAAGAAAACGGCAAGACTGAAGGTCTGGTATGTGAATCACCAGGTAATATATGAGTGTCATTTGGTATGTGAATAATGATAATAATGTTCTACAGCTAACTGACAAAGTTCCATCTATGTTCAAGGAGACATTCAGCACGCTTCCTCCAACTCAAGACAAATCAATTGTCTCTGAAGAAAAGCATGAATGGCTTCACATTTGGACAGACTGAGCCATTTTATCTAAAATTGGTCTTGAAAAGGTGGTTATCAGAAATGGCTGAATTCTGTAAGAAGTCCCTCAGTTGACATTTATATATTTAGGCTTCTCAAAGCTGACCTGACAGGACTGTTCCACACAATATGAGGTCAACCGGGGTATGAGGTTCCTTGTGTATCAGCAGAACACGTGGCCAAGTGTCCTCAGCTCTGGGTGTCGGTGTACAGTGCAGCCGACATGCTGGAGTTGTTATGGGAAGGGATGTAACTCATGGTCTTCTTCAGCTGATCGTAGCTCCAGTGTAGCTGATTGACCTCCTCTGAGTGTCGGTGTCGAGTGTCACTTAACTCCTTCAGCAGATGGTCGTTGGTCTGCACGAGCGATCTGACAACATCAATATTCATCTTAATACATGGAACTATTCCTGTAAGAGACAGTCTGTATAGAATATCGTGGTCTCCATGATCCACAGTTGTATAAAAATGGTACCATGGTACATATCTACTGGTGACAATGTATCCCCATACTTATTACTCTCCTCACACACCATGGTACATTTCTACTGGTGACAATGTATCCCCATACGTATTACTCTCCTCACACACCATGGTACATTTCTACTGGTGACAATGTATCTCGATACGTATTATTCTCCTCACACACCATGGTACACATCTACTGGTGACAATGTATCTCGATACGTATTACTCTCCTCACACACCATGGTACACCTCTACTGGTGACAATGTATCCCAAACGTATTACTCTCCTCACACACCATGGTACACCTCTACTGGTGACAATGTATCTCGATATGTATTACTCTCCTAACACACCATGGTACACATCTACTGGTGACAATGTATCATCTACTGGTGACAATTACTCTCCTCACACACCATGGTACACCTCTACTGGTGACAATGTATCCCCATCATTATTACTCTCCTCACACACCATGGTACACCTCTACTGGTGACAATGTATCTCGACATCGATATTACTCTCCTCACACACCATGGTACACATCTACTGGTGACAATGTATCCCCATCATTATTACTCTCCTCACACACCATGGTACACCTCTACTGGTGACAATGTATCTCGTACATCTCACGTATTACTCTCTCTCACACACCATGGTACACATCTACTGGTGACAATGTATCCCCATCGATACGATATTACTCTCCTCACACACCATGGTACACATCTACTGGTGACAATGTATCTCATCACATTATTCTCCTCACACACCATGGTACACCTCTACTGGTGACAATGTATCTCGATACGTATTACTCTCCTCACACACCATGGTACACATCTACTGGTGACAATGTATCCCCATACGTATTACTCTCCTCACACACCATGGTACACCTCTACTGGTGACAATGTATCCCCAAACGTATTACTCTCCTCACACACCATGGTACACCTCTACTGGTGACAATGTATCCCCATACGTATTACTCTCCTCACACACCATGGTACACCTCTACTGGTGACAATGTATCTCGATACGTATTACTCTCCTCACACACCATGGTACACATCTACTGGTGACAATGTATCCCCATACGTATTACTCTCCTCACACACCATGGTACACCTCTACTGGTGACAATGTATCCCCAAACGTATTACTCTCCTCACACACCATGGTACACCTCTACTGGTGACAATGTATCCCCATACGTATTACTCTCCTAACACACCATGGTACACATCTACTGGTGACAATGTATCTCGATACGTATTACTCTCCTCACACACCATGGTACACCTCTACTGGTGACAATGTATCTCGATACGTATTACTCTCCTCACACACCATGGTACACCTCTACTGGTGACAATGTATCTCGATACGTATTACTCTCCTCACACACCATGGTACACCTCTACTGGTGACAATGTATCTCGATACGTATTATTCTCCTCACACACCATGGTACACATCTACTGGTGACAATGTATCTCGATATGTATTACTCTCCTAACACACCATGGTACACCTCTACTGGTGACAATGTATCTCGATACGTATTACTCTCCTCACACACCATGGTACAACTCTACTGGTGACAATGTATCCCCATACGTATTACTCTCCTCACACACCATGGTACACATCTACTGGTGACAATGTATCTCGATACGTATTATTCTCCTCACACACCATGGTACACCTCTACTGGTGACAATGTTTCTCGATATGTATTACTCTCCTAACACACCATGGTACACCTCTACTGGTGACAATGTATCTCGATACGTATTACTCTCCTCACACACCATGGTACAACTCTACTGGTGACAATGTATCTCGATACGTATTACTCTCCTCACACACCATGGTACACCTCTACTGGTGACAATGTATCTCAAAACGTATTACTCTCCTCACACACCATGGTACACATCTACTGGTGACAATGTATCTCGATACGTATTACTCTCCTCACACACCATGGTACACATCTACTGGTGACAATGTATCCCCATACGTATTACTCTCCTCACAAAAACCATCAGCTTACAGCAGGACAACCGAGGTAAAATCTCAGTAAGAAAGTCTGGATCGGAACAGAGAATGCTTTTGGGAAATGTAAACGACGCAGTGGTTTCTAAAGACTTCCTCAGTACTGGTCCTATGTCACACGTGTAAACATGATAACTGATATCCACTGATTTTCTCTCATTTCAGTAAAAACTTACCAATTTGTCATGTATTGTTATCAAGACATGTTATTATTTGTCTGTCTTGTTCTTAATAACACTGGAATAATAGCTCTTTACAGCTAATGTTGTAACAGGAAAACCTGATCTTAACTATTTCTTGTATTTGCATTGTGCCCCATTCATGGTAACTGTGATGACCCCTGACCTACTACTCACCTGTGACCTGTGACCTGTGACCCACTTGCGACTACTGACTTACTTGTGACTGTCCTGCAGCATGTTTGCCAGCTCCTGCATCTGAGCGAACTGTTTGAGTCTCCCTCGCAGACCCTCAATCTCGCGCTGCAGAGCATCATTCTGCCGCTGCAGATCATCTGAAACAGGTGGGCATCAAGGTTTCAGGTGTTGTCATAGAAACAGGTGGGTATCAAGGATTCAGGTCTTGTCATAGAAACAGGTGGGCATCAAGGATTCAGGTCTTGTCATAGAAACAGGTGGGCATCAAGGATTCAGGTGTTGTCATAGAAACAGGTGGGCATCAAGGCTTCAGGTCTTGTCATAGAAACAGGTGGGCATCAAGGCTTTAGGTCTTGTCATAGAAAACAGGACTAGGCTATAATGATACTTATATATCCAAAAGTATGTGATATTGGCACAGTATTGGAATATATCAGTATATTGAATACCTTGATACACATGAGACATGACAATATAGCTGTGAATTAGGTCGGAGCTGTACAATACCCCCTTCAGCTGCAGTACCTGTGAAGATTTCAGTTAGAATTGGTCTTCAGCAACCCAAGCTTGTTGTAAGAGGTGGTCAGACTCTGACTTGGTTGACACATGGGATCGTATCCCAATTGCTTAGATTGATGCTCATGATTGTCTCGTGTCAACTCAATTATTTACAGCCTGCCGCCAAATAGCTCGAATATTGCTGAGTGCAGCATAAACAACAAACAAACATACAAGAGCTGTAGTGTCAGGGTGTGTGTCCTACCTAGTTGTGTCTGGTTGACAACAGACATGGAGGAAGCAGCACCTCCCTGATAACTTGACAGAGTATCCTGGCTGTCCAGCTTCTTACCCAAACGCCGATTTTCACTTACGTACTTGTCAAGCTGGTCGCGTAAGGTCTCCTGGAATATCAACATCAGTTTTAACATCAGCATCAAAATCATCATCAGTTTGAATACTGGCATCATCATCAGTATCAACTTCAACATCAGCATAAACATCAGTACCAACATCAATATCAACTTCAACATCAGTATCAGCATAAACATCAGTATCAGCATAAACATCCGTATCAGCATAAACATCCGTATCAGTATAAACATCAGTATCAGCATAAACATCTGTATCAGTATAAACATCAGTATCAGCATAAACATCCATATCAGCATAACCATCTGTATCAGTATAAACATCCGTAACAGTGTAAACATCAGTATCAGCATAAACATCTGTATCAGCATAAACATCCGTATCAGCATAAACATCTGTATCAGTATAAACATCAGTATCAGTGTAAACATCCGTATCAGCATAAACATCCGTATCAGCATAAACATCTCTATCAGTATAAACATCCGTATCAGCATAAACATCCGTATCAGCATAAACATCAGTATCAGCATAAACATCTGTATCAGTATAAACATCAGTATCAGCATTAACATCCGTATCAGTATAAACATCTGTATCAGTATAAACATCGGTATCAGCATAAACATCGGTATCAGTATAAACATCAGTATCAGTGTAAACATCCATATCAACATCAGCATCATCAGCAACATCAATGTCAACATTGCTCTTCCCAACACCCGGCCTACTTTTTACCATCCTAGCACTGCTGCCTCAGATGGACCATCCTAACACTGCTGCCTTAGATGGACCATCCTAGCACTGCTGCCTTAGATGAACCATCCTTACACTGCTGCCTTAGATGAACCATCCTAACACTGCTGCCTTAGATGGACCATCCTAACACTGCTGCCTTAGATGAACTATCCTAACACTGCTGCCTTAGATGGACCATCGTAGCACTGCTGCCTTAGATGAACCATCCTTACACTGCTGCCTCAGATGGACCATCCTTACACTGCTGCCTCAGATGGACCATCCTAACACTGTTGCCTTAGATGGACCATCCCAACACTGCTGCCTTAGATGGACCATCCTACCTCTGCTGCCTCAGATGGACCATCCTAACACTGCTATCAACATCAGCATCATCAGCAACATCAATGTCAACATTGCTCTTCCCAACACCCGGCCTACTTTTTACCATCCTAGCACTGCTGCCTCAGATGGACCATCCTAACACTGCTGCCTTAGATGGACCATCCTAGCACTGTTGCCTTAGATGAACCATCCTTACACTGCTGCCTTAGATGAACCATCCTTACACTGCTGCCTCAGATGGACCATCCTAACACTGCTGCCTTAGATAAACTATCCTAACACTGCTGCCTTAGATGAACCATCCTAACATTGCTGCCTTAGATGGACCATCCTAACACTGCTGCCTTAGATGGACCATCCTAACACTGCTGCCTCAGATGAACCATCCTAACACTGCTGCCTCAGATGGACCATCCTAACACTGCTGCCTTAGATGAACTATCCTAACACTGCTGCCTTAGATGGACAATCCTAACACTGCTGCCTTAGATGAACCATCCTAACATTGCTGCCTTAGATGGACCATCCTAACACTGCTGCCTTAGATGGACCATCCTAGCACTGCAGCCTCAGATGACCCATCCTAACACTGCTGCCTTAGATGGACCATCCTAACACTGCTGCCTTAGATGAACCATCCTAACATTGCTGCCTTAGATGGACCATCCTAACACTGCTGCCTTAGATGGACCATCCTAGCACTGCAGCCTCAGATGACCCATCCTAACACTGCTGCCTTAGATTAACCATCCTAACACTGCTGCCTTGGAAGACCCATCCTAACACTGCTGCCTTAGATGCACCATTCTAACACTGTTGCCTCAGATGAACCATCCTAACATTGCTGCCTTAGATGGACCATCCTAACACTGCTGCCTTAGATGGACCATCCTAGCACTGCAGCCTCAGATGACCCATCCTAACACTGCTGCCTTAGATGGACCATCCTAACACTGCTGCCTTAGATGAACCATCCTAACATTGCTGCCTTAGATGGACCATCCTAACACTGCTGCCTTAGATGGACCATCCTAGCACTGCAGCCTCAGATGACCCATCCTAACACTGCTGCCTTAGATTAACCATCCTAGCACTGCTGCCTTGGAAGACCCATCCTAACACTGCTGCCTTAGATGGACCATTCTAACACTGTTGCCTCAGATGAACCATCCTAACATTGCTGCCTTAGATGGACCATCCTAACACTGCTGCCTTAGATGAACCATCCTAACATTGCTGCCTTAGATGGACCATCCTAACACTGCTGCCTTAGATGGACCATCCCATCCTAGCACTGCAGCCTCAGATGACCCATCCTAACACTGCTGCCTTAGATTAACCATCCTAACACTGCTGCCTTGGAAGACCCATCCTAACACTGCTGCCTTAGATGAACCATTCTAACACTGTTGCCTCAGATGAACCATCCTAACACTGCTGATTCAGATGAACCATCCTAGCACTGCTGCCTTAGATGAACCATCCTTACACTGCTGCCTTAGATGGACCATCCTAACACTGCTGCCTTAGATGGACCATCCTAACACCACTGCTGCGTTAGATGAACCATCCTACCTCTGCTGCCTTAGATGAACCATCCTAACACTGCTGCCTTAGATGAACCATCCTAACACTGCTGCCTTAGATGAACCATCCTACCTCTGCTGCCTTAGATGAACCATCCTAACACTGCTGCCTTAGATGAACCATCCTAACACTGCTGCCTTAGATGAACCATCCCAACACTGCTGCCTTAGATGAACCATCCTACCTCTGCTGCCTTAGATGAACCATCCTAGCACTGCTGCCTTAGATGAACCATCCTAACACTGCTACCTTAGATGGACCATCCTAGCACTGCTGCCTCAGATGGACCATCCCTGCACCTGCCTTAGATGAACCATCCTAGCACTGCTGCCTTAGATGAACCATCCTAGCACTGCTGCCTTAGATGAACCATCCTAACACTGCTGCCTTAGATGAACCATCCTAACACTGCTGCCTTAGATGGACCATCCTAGCACTGCAGCCTCAGATGACCCATCCTAACACTGCTGCCTTAGATGAACCATCCTAACACTGCTGCCTTAGATGAAGACCCATCCTAACACTGCTGCCTTAGATGCACCATTCTCAGAACCATCCTGTTGCCTCAGATGAACCATCCTAACACTGCTGCCTTAGATGGACTTAGATGAACCACCATCCTAACACTGCTGCCTTAGATGGACCATCCTAGCACTGCAGCCTCAGAGATGACCCACTGCTGCCTTGGAAGACCCATCCTAACACTGCTGCCTTAGATGCACCATTCTAACACTGTTGCCTCAGACACATTGCTGCCTTTAGATGGACCATCCCATCCTAACATCCTGCTGCTGCCTTAGATGGACCATCCTAACACTGCTGCCTTGAACCATCCTAACATTGCTGCCTTAGATGGACCATCCTAACACTGCTGCCTTAGATGGACCATCCTAGCACTGCAGCCTCAGATGACCCATCCTAACACTGCTGCCTTAGATTAACCATCCTAGCACTGCTGCCTTGGAAGACCCATCCTAACACTGCTGCCTTAGATGAACCATTCTAACACTGTTGCCTCAGATGAACCATCCTAACATTGCTGCCTTAGATGGACCATCCTAACACTGCTGCCTTAGATGAACCATCCTAACATTGCTGCCTTAGATGGACCATCCTAACACTGCTGCCTTAGATGGACCATCCTAGCACTGCAGCCTCAGATGACCCATCCTAACACTGCTGCCTTAGATTAACCATCCTAACACTGCTGCCTTGGAAGACCCATCCTAACACTGCTGCCTTAGATGAACCATTCTAACACTGTTGCCTCAGATGAACCATCCTAACACTGCTGATTCAGATGAACCATCCTAGCACTGCTGCCTTAGATGAACCATCCTTACACTGCTGCCTTAGATGGACCATCCTAACACTGCTGCCTTAGATGGACCATCCTAACACCACTGCTGCGTTAGATGAACCATCCTACCTCTGCTGCCTTAGATGAACCATCCTAACACTGCTGCCTTAGATGAACCATCCTAACACTGCTGCCTTAGATGAACCATCCTACCTCTGCTGCCTTAGATGAACCATCCTAACACTGCTGCCTTAGATGAACCATCCTAACACTGCTGCCTTAGATGAACCATCCCAACACTGCTGCCTTAGATGAACCATCCTACCTCTGCTGCCTTAGATGAACCATCCTAGCACTGCTGCCTTAGAGGAACCATCCTAACACTGCTACCTTAGATGGACCATCCTAGCACTGCTGCCTCAGATGGACCATCCTAGCACTGCTGCCTTAGATGAACCATCCTAGCACTGCTGCCTTAGATGAACCATCCTAGCACTGCTGCCTTAGATGAACCATCCTAACACTGCTGCCTTAGATGGACCATCCTAGCACTGCTGCCTTAGATGGACCATCCTAGCACTGCTGCCTTAGATGAACCATCCTAACACTGCAGCCTTAGATGAACCATCCTAACACTGCTGACTTAGATGGACCATCCTAGCACTGCTGCCTTAGATGGACCATCCTAGCACTGCTGCCTTAGATGAACCATCCAAACACTGCTGCCTTAGATGGACCATCCTAGGACTGCTGCCTTAGATGGACCATCCTAACACTGCTGCCTTAGATGAACCATCCTAACACTGCTGCCTTAGATGGACCATCCTAACACTGCTGCCTTAGATGGACCATCCTAACACTGCTGCCTCAGATGGACCATCCTAACACTGCTGCCTCAGATGGACCATCCTAACACTGCTGCCTCAGATGGACCATCCTAACACTGCTGCCTCAGATGGACTATCCTAACACTGCTGCCTCAGATGGACTATCCTAACACTGCTGCCTCAGATGGACCATCCTAACACTGCTGCCTTAGATGGACCATCCTAACACTGCTGCCTCAGATGGACCATCCTAACACTGCTGCCTCAGATGGACCATCCTAGCACTGCTGCCTTAGATGGACCATCCTAGCACTGCTGCCTTAGATGAACCATCCTAACACTGCTGCCTTAGATGGACCATCCTAACACTGCTGCCTTAGATGGACCATCCTAGCACTGCTGCCTTAGATGGACCATCCTAGCACTGCTGCCTTAGATGAACCATCCTAACACTGCTGCCTTAGGTGGACCATCCTAGCACCGCTGCCTTAGATGGACCATCCTAACACTGCTGCCTTAGATGAACCATCCTAACACTGCTGCCTTAGATGGACCATCCTAACACTGCTGCCTCAGATGGACCATCCTAACACTGCTGCCTCAGATGGACCATCCTAACACTGCTGCCTCAGATGGACCATCCTAACACTGCTGCCTCAGATGGACTATCCTAACACTGCTGCCTCAGATGGACTATCCTAACACTGCTGCCTCAGATGGACCATCCTAACACTGCTGCCTTAGATGGACTATACTAACACTGCTGCCTCAGATGGACCATCCTAACACTGCTGCCTCAGATGGACCATCCTAACACTGCTGCCTTAGATGGACCATCCTAACACTGCTGCCTCAGATGGACCATCCTAACACTGCTGCCTCAGATGGACCATCCTAACACTGCTGCCTCAGATCATTTCAAGTGAAGCAAAAAAGGGAGGGAATGGATTACCAAGGCTGATGTTCTGTGATACAACTGACAATGACACAATTGTGTCTCACACATACCACATCCTGGTAAGCCTTCTGGAGGGACTTTTTCAGGTGTGTCTCATTGGCGGATGACCCCTCCAAGGTAGCCTTGTGCCTAGCATCACGGTCTCGCAGTACAATATTGTCGTCTTTCATGCGCTGCAGCTGGTCTCGGAGGTGGAGCACCTCTCTCTGAGCCTGTGCATGGACAGATCCACTTCCCATCATCACCTTCTCCAGCAGGTTCAACGCAAGGCCTGCAACAGTGAGTGGGCACATGGGTGAGTGGGTGGATGGATGGGCAGACGGGCAGGCCTGCAACAGTGAGTCGCTGGGTGGATGGGCGGATGGGTGAGTGGGTGGAAGGATGGGCAGACGGGCAGGCCTGCAACAGTGAGTCGCTGGGTGGATGGGTGAGTGGGTGGAAGGATTGGCAGACGGGCAGGCCTGCAACAGTGAGAAGATGGGTGGATGGGTGGATGGAAGGGCAGGCCTGCAACAGTGAGTGAGTCAGTGGGTGGGTTATTACATGAGTGAGTTTCTTTAGTGATCAATTAAGATTATTGTGATTGGTGGATTGAAGGGCAGGCCTGCAACAGTGAGTGAGTCAGTGGGTAGGTGAAAATACACAATGCCATTTAGAAAGTGGTCAAATGTAACTTATGTTATATTTGGGATTACACTTTCTCAGTAAAGTACAGATTCTAGTACTTTTTGGGTTGAGTCCCATCCGGGATTCGAACCCACACCCTCAGAGTCAGGCACCTAATCGCCAGCACACAAAGTCAGACGCCTAATCCGCTCAGCCACCCAAAAAGTACTAGAATCTGTACTTTACTGAGAAAGTGTAATCCCAAATATAACATAGGTTAAAGTGGGTAGGTGATTAAGTGAGTGAGTTTCACTAGTGATAAATTAAGATTATTGTGTCAACTCATTTGTGATTTCAATCTTTGTTCAAAGAAAATAACCTCTCATGGTTTACAAAATCTTCTGAAAATGGTGAGGTGAGTGGTAATGTGTTGTCATGTCTTACTGCTGGTGAAAAGCGTCCTTTACCATTCTGTAACAATCTCTGAACATTTGAAAGTACACTTGACAGAGTAGGCTACAGACACTCTACCTTTGAACTTTGCATTCTTGTGCAGAGATTTAGTCCCATTCCAATATCGGTCTACAAGGTCCATCAACCGAAACAAGAGTTCCCTCCCTTGAGGGTTTTCTTCCAGACGAACCTTGATGGAGTTTTCTTCTTGTGTCTGACGAGGGTCTTGTGGCAAGTCTTTAGGAATACCCAGCTGTTGGAGTGTTTCTTCAATCTGCAGACATATGGACACATTGTTACCATGGTGACCCTGACAGTAAATACTTGTAGAGGTAATCTAAAACTAAGGTGAGATATACTCAGTATCCCTCCTAAACTCTGCAGTTGCCCTTGCTCCAGATTGTAATAGACCCAAAGTGAGCACAGTACAAGTTAGAAAAACAACCACCAACTTGAAGTCCCGTTGTGAAGGGCTTACTTCTGCATTCTGTCTCGGAGCACTGTCATTCCGCTGGTGGTTCTGTCCTGCCTGTTTCAACCTCTGTTCTGCCTCACTTCCCCTCTCCCGTTGCATTCTGGGAGGTTCTGGATAGGACTCTCGTTCTGTTGGCACTTGACTCACTTCAAGGTCGTCTTCATCTTGAGCAAAAATGTGTTCAAATGTGGCTTTTGTAAGTTGAGCAAATTCTGTTATTTTTTCTTCTGTTTTTGAAGGATAGGATGAATGGACAGCTGGAATGGTACACATTTAGGCAGATGGACTGACAGCTGGATTGGTACACATTTAGGCAGATGGACTGACAGCTGGAATGGTACACATTTAGGCAGATGGACTGACAGCTGGATTGGTACACATTTAGGCAGATGGACTGACAGCTGGATTGGTACACATTTAGGCAGATGGACTGACAGCTGGAATATGGTGGACACATTTAGGCAGATGGACTGACTGGACTGACAGCTGGATTGGTACACATTTAGGCAGATGGACTGACAGCTGGATTGGTACATTTAGGCAGATGGACTGACAGCTGGATTGGTACACATTTAGGCAGATGGACTGACAGCTGGATTGGTACACATTTAGGCAGATGGACTGACAGCTGGATTGGTACACATTTAGGCAGATGGACTGACAGCTGGATTGGTACACATTTAGGCAGATGGACTGACAGCTGGATTGGTACACATTTAGGCAGATGGACTGACAGCTGGATTGGTACACATTTAGGCAGATGGACTGACAGCTGGATTGGTACACATTTATGGACTGACAGCTGGATTGGTACACATTTAGGCAGATGGACTGACAGCTGGATTGGTACACATTTAGGCAGATGGACTGACAGCTGGATTGGTACACATTTAGGCAGATGGACTGACAGCTGGATTGGTACACATTTAGGCAGATGGACTGACAGCTGGATTGGTACACATTTAGGCAGATGGACTGACAGCTGGATTGGTACACATTTAGGCAGATGGACTGACAGCTGGATTGGTACACATTTAGGCAGATGGACTGACAGCTGGAATGGTACACATTTAGGCAGATGGACTGACAGCTGGAATGGTACACATTTAGGCAGATGGACTGACAGCTGGATTGGTACAGCTGGATTGGTACACATTTAGGCAGATGGACTGACAGCTGGATTGGTACACATTTAGGCAGCTGAATGGGCAGATGGAATCGTACATATCTAGGCACATCGACTGACTGGTTGACAGGCACATATGTAGGCAGATGGACTGACTGGTTGGTGGAAGGGTACATATCTAGGCAGGTGGACTGACTGGTTGATGGGCACATATCTAGGCACATGGACTGACTGGCTGACGGGCACATATCTAAGCACATGGACTGACTGGTTGGTGGAAGGGCACATATCTAGGCACATGGACTGACTGGCTGACGGGCACATATCTAGGCACATGGACTGACTGGTTGGTGGAAGGGCACATATCTAGGCAGAAGGACAGACAGGTTGGTGGAAGGGCACATATCTAGGCAGAAGGACAGACAGGTTGGTGGAAGGGCAGTCCACACGTACATGAGTACACTGAGAGAGGGCGTACCTGCTGCACCAGGATGAGGAGTGAAGTAGCCGTGGCTCCTGTACTTGGTGTAGGCATCTGTCTCATCCGCATACTCCAGATTAGGGTCCACTCTGAAACAGTTCCAACCTCATGAACATCATGGCACTACTTCAAAGCACATTCCCCAGTATCACCATTAGCCAGGGAAGAGTATCTGTTACTATGACAACCAGTTACACTAACCTCTTCATCCTCTCTGCTCCTCGGTCTCCATCTGACACGCTGGGAATGTTGGGATAGCGCTTCCTGTACGTGGACATCACATCATCTGCCTCCTCTGGAAGTGAGGATGCCCTGGGTCGACGCCCCCCAGCTGCCTGGAATAACACAAAGTCTCACATTTCACAGTCGGATTCTCATCATGAATTAAACAAATTATCGCTTATCCAAAGTATAGGGTACATTAACATGATTAGATAAAACCGACTGGTCATCTTGGTTTAAAGGTCACCCATTTGGCAATGTCTGTAAAAATAACTTCTCCTAAGCACCAGTTTCAGTTGTAGTTGCATCACCAACCTTGTCTGATCTGGACTCCCTGTCTGGGTCTGTTTGGTTCAGCTTATCACTGCCAAGACTCTTCAAGCCTGAAACAAACCATACATTAAAACAGGCCCTGCAGACTTAGCATGGGAATCCTCAACAATGTGTTGAAAACTGAAAATTCATGTAAAGCCATAACCCTGTCGTTAATGTTAAGTTATAACCATATCACTATTGGAAAGTCAAAACCCTGTCACTGTTATAAAGTTATAACACTGTCGTAAAATTATAACCCTGTCATTGTAAATTTATAACAATGTCATTGTAAAGATATAACCTTCTCACTATTGGAAAGTCAAAACCCTGTCACTGTTATAAAGTTATAACACTGTCGTAAAATTATAACCCTGTCATTGTAAATTTATAACAATGTCATTGTAAAGATATAACCTTCTCACTATTGGAAAGTCAAAACCCTGTCACTGTTATAAAGTTATAACCCTGTCGTAAAATTATAACCCTGTTATTGTAAAGTTATAACCATCGCACTCTTGTAAAGTTATAACCAAGTCATTGTAAAGTTATAACCCTGTCACTGTTGCAAAGTTATTAACAAGTCACTGTTGTAAAGTTATAACCAAGTCACTGTTGTAAAGTTATAACCCTGTCGTTGTTGTAAAGTTATAACCATGTTGTTGTAAAGTTATAACCATGTCACTGTCATAAAGTTATAACCCTGTCACTGTTGTAAAGTTATAACCCTGTCACTGTTGTAAAGTTATAACCCTGTTGTTGTAAAGTTATAACCCTGTCACTGTTGTAAAGTTATAACCCTGTCACTGTTGAAAAGTTATAACCCTGTCACTGTTGTAAAGTTATAACCCTGTCACTGTTGTAAAGTTATAACCCTGTCACTGTTGTAAAGTTATAACCTCGTTGTTGTAAAGTTATAACCCAGTCACTGTTATAAAGTTATAACCCTGTCACTGTTGTAAAGTTATAACCCTGTCACTGTTGTAAAGTTATAACCCTGTCTTTGTTGTAAAGTTATAACTCTGTCGTAAAGTTATAACCCTGTCACTGTTGTAAAGTTATAACCATGTCACTGTTGTAAAGTTATAACCCTGTCATTGTTGTAAAGTTATAACCATGTCACTGTTGTAAAGTTATAACCCTGTTGTAAAGTTATAACCCTGTCTTTGTTGTAAAGTTATAACCCTGTCACTGTTGTAAAGTTATAACCCTGTCACTGTTGTAAAGTTATAACCCTGTTGTTGTAAAGTTATAACCCTGTCACTGTTGTAAAGTTATAATCCTGTCATTGTAAAGTTATAACCCTGTCATTGTTGTAAAGTTATAACCCTGTCATTGTTGTAAAGTTATAACCCTGTTGTTGTAAAGTTATAACCCTGTCACTGTTGTAAAGTTATAACCCTGTCACTGTTCTAAAGTTATAACCCTGTTGTTGTAAAGTTATAACCCTGTCACTGTTGTAAAGTTATAACCCTGTCATTGTTGTAAAGTTATAACCCTGTCACTGTTGTAAAGTTATAACCCTGTCACTGTTGTAAAGTTATAACCCTGTCACTGTTGTAAAGTTATAACCCTGTCACTGTTGTAAAGTTATAACCCTGTCACTGTTGTAAAGTTATAACCATGTCACTGTTGTAAAGTTATAACCCTGTTGTTGTTGTAAAGTTATAACCCTGTCACTGTTGTAAAGTTATAACCCTGTCACTGTTGTAAAGTTATAACCTTGTTGTTGTAAAGTTATAACCCTGTCACTGTTATAAAGTTATAACCATGTCACTGTTGTAAAGTTATAACCCTGTCACTGTTGTAAAGTTATAACCCTGTCACTGTTGTAAAGTTATAACCCTGTCACTGTTGTAAAGTTATAACCCTGTTGTTGTAAAGTTATAACCCTGTCACTGTTGTAAAGTTATAACCCTGTCATTGTTGTAAAGTTATAACCCTGTCACTGTTGTAAAGTTATAACCCTGTCACTGTTGTAAAGTTATAACCCTGTCACTGTTGTAAAGTTATAACCCTGTCACTGTTGTAAAGTTATAACCATGTCACTGTTGTAAAGTTATAACCCTGTTGTTGTTGTAAAGTTATAACCCTGTCACTGTTGTAAAGTTATAACCCTGTCACTGTTGTAAAGTTATAACCTTGTTGTTGTAAAGTTATAACCCTGTCACTGTTATAAAGTTATAACCATGTCACTGTTGTAAAGTTATAACCCTGTCACTGTTGTAAAGTTATAACCCTGTTGTTGTAAAGTTATAACCCTGTTGTTGTAAAGTTATAACCCTGTGACAGTTGTAAAGTTATAACCATGTCACTGTTGTAAAGTTATAACCCTGTCACTGTTGTAAAGTTATAACCCTGTCACTGTTGTAAAGTTATAACCATGTCACTGTTGTAAAGTTATAACCCTATTGTTGTTGTAAAGTTATAACCCTGTCACTGTTGTAAACTTATAACCCTGTCACTGTTGTAAAGTTATAACCTTGTTGTTGTAAAGTTATAACCCTGTCACTGTTATAAAGTTATAACCGTGTCACTGTTGTAAAGTTATAACCCTGTCACTGTTGTAAAGTTATAACCCTGTTGTTGTAAAGTTATAACCCTGTTGTTGTAAAGTTATAACCCTGTCACTGTTGTAAAGTTATAACCATGTCACTGTTGTAAAGTTATAACCCTGTCACTGTTGTAAAGTTATAACCCTGTCACTGTTGTAAAGTTACTACCCTGTCACTGTTGTAAAGTTATAACCCTGTCTTTGTTGTAAAGTTATAACCCTGTCGCTGTAAAGTTATAACCCTGTCGTTGTTGTAAAGTTATAACCATGTTGTTGTAAAGTTATAACCCTGTCACTGTTGTAAAGTTATAACCCTGTCATTGCAAAGTTATAACCCTTTTGTTGTAAAGTTATAACCCTGTCACTGTTGTAAAGTTATAACCCTGTCATTGTAAAGTTATAACCCTGTCATTGTAAAGTTATAACCTAGTCTTTGTTTTTAAGTTGTAACCATGTCACTGTTGTAAAGTTATAACCCTGTCACTGTTGTAAAGTTATAACCCTGTCACTGTTGTAAAGTTATAACCCTGTCATTGCAAAGTTAAAACCCTGTTGTTGTAAAGTGATAACCCTGTCACTGTTGTAAAGTTATAACCCTGTCACTGTTGTAAAGTTATAACCCTGTCACTGTTGTAAAGTTATAACCCTGTCATTGTAAAGTTATAACCCTGTCGTTGTAAAGTTATAACCTAGTCTTTGTTTTTAAGTTGTAACCATGTCACTGTCATAAAGTTATAACTCTGACACTGTCGTAAAGTTATAAATTTGTCACTGATATAAAATTATAACCCAGTCGTTGTAAAGTTGTAACCATGTCACTGTCATAAAGTCATAACCCTGTCACTGTTGTAAAGTTATGACCCTGTCACTGTTGTAAAGTTATTACCATGTCCCTGTTGTAAAGTTATAACCCTGTCACTGTTGTAAAGTTATAACCCTGTCACTGTTGTAAAGTTATAACCCTCTCACTGTTGTAAAGTTATAACCCTGTCACTGTTGTAAAGTTATAACCCTGTCTTTGTTGTAAAGTTATAACCCTGTCACTGTTGTAAAGTTATAACCATGTCACTGTTGTAAAGTTATAACCATGTCACTGTTGTAAAGTTATAACCCTGTTGTTGTTGTAAAGTTATAACCCTGTCACTGTTGTAAAGTTATAACCCTGTTGTTGTTGTAAAGTTATAACCCTGTCACTGTTGTAAAGTTATAACCCTGTCACTGTTGTAAAGTTATAACCTTGTTGTTGTAAAGTTATAACCCTGTCACTGTTGTAAAGTTATAACCCTGTCACTGTTGTAAAGTTATAACCCTGTCACTGTTGTAAAGTTATAACCCTGTTGTTGTAAAGTTATTACCCTGTCACTGTTGTAAAGTTATAACCCTGTCACTGTTGTAAAGTTATAACCCCTGTGTTGTTGTAAAGTTATAACCCTGTCACTGTTGTAAAGTTATTACCCTGTCACTGTTGTAAAGTTATAACCCTGTCACTGTTGTAAAGTTATAACCCTGTTGTTGTAAAGTTATTACCCTGTCACTGTTGTAAAGTTATAACCCTGTCACTGTTGTAAAGTTATAACCCTGTTGTTGTAACGTTATTACCCTGTCACTGTCATAAAGTTATAACCCTGTCACTGTTGTAAAGTTATAACCCTGTCACTGTTGTAAAGTTATAACCCTGTTGTTGTAAAGTTAAACCCTGTTGTTGTAAAGTTATTACCCTGTGTTGTTGTAAAGTTATTACCCTGTCACTGTTGTAAAGTTATAACCCTGTCACTGTTGTAAAGTTATAACCCTGTCACTGTTGTAAAGTTATAACCCTGTCACTGTTGTAAAGTTATAACCCTGTCACTGTTGTAAAGTTATAACCCTGTCACTGTTGTAAAGTTATAACCCTGTCACTGTTGTAAAGTTATAACCCTGTCACTGTTGTAAAGTTATAACCCTGTCACTGTTGTAAAGTTATAACCATGTCACTGTTGTAAAGTTATAACCATGTCACTGTTGTAAAGTTATAACCCTGTTGTTGTTGTAAAGTTATAACCCTGTCACTGTTGTAAAGTTATAACCCTGTCACTGTTGTAAAGTTATAACCTTGTTGTTGTAAAGTTATAACCCTGTCACTGTTATAAAGTTATAACCGTGTCACTGTTGTAAAGTTATAACCCTGTCACTGTTGTAAAGTTATAACCCTGTCTTTGTTGTAAAGTTATAACCCTGTCATTGTAAAGTTATAACCCTGTCACTGTTGTAAAGTTATAACCCTGTCACTGTTGCAAAGTTATAACCCTGTTGTTGTAAACTTATAACCCTGTCACTGTTGTAAAGTTATAACCATGTCACTGTTGTAAAGTTATAACCCTGTCACTGTTGTAAAGTTATAACCCTGTCACTGTTGTAAAGTTACTACCCTGTCACTGTTGTAAAGTTAAAACCCTGTTGTTGTAAAGTTATTACCCTGTCACTGTTGTAAAGTTATAACCCTGTCACTGTTGTAAAGTTATAACCCTGTTGTTGTAA